AGTTCTCAGACTAGTATCGTGAGGAATGTTAAAAAAAAAAACAAAAACCTTTTCCCCATACCAGAATCTGGCCAGTCCTCTTAAAGAGCAAGAAAATGCCCAAGTAAGAAAACATTGCAACTCTCTACTCTGACCTATGTAGAATCAATCTCTATGCGACCTGGGCCTATCTTCACCTCTTTCAGCAAAGAAAAGCCCAGTAATCTCTCTCATACCACATAGGACAAAAGACTTTAAGCATCTGAGACAGGATCCCAGACATCCAGAGTAAGAAGGATACTAAAGCCATTAGACTCACAATTATTTGAGCTGTATATCCCCTTCATAGCTTGGATAAGTTTACCTTGTGTGAGGTACATACATAAAACATGAGGAAAATGAAACACTTCCTATATGCAGATGAAGTACAAGAGGCTATGTCAAATGTTCTGTTCAATTCAACTAACACTTACTTAGTCTAACTACTTCTAATTTGTTATTTCTAATTCTGGTGTAATCTTACAAATCAGATAACCAGTCCGAAGGGGAATCTGACCCTGAGGAACTAAAGGGCTCTGCAGTTATTGCACAGCCTTTGCGGTGGCAAATGGATAAATGTCTGTGATAATATACGTGACGAAAACCAAAACCAAAAAAACCTCATTGCCTTTGAGTGGATTTCAATTCATTGAGACCTTGTAAGTTAGAGTAGAACTGCCTCATAGGGCTTCCGAGGCTGCAAATCTTTACAGCAGTATACAGTTTCATCTTTCTCCCAAGGAGTAGCTGGTGGGCTTGAACCACCAACCCTGCAATTAAGCAGCCCAACATTTAACCTACTATACCACTAGGGATCCAATACAAGTGATGTTGTTGTTGTTGTTAAGTACCATGGAGTCAGTTCTGCCTCATAGTGACCCTGGCACAGGGTTTCTGAGGTTGCAAATCTTTACAAGAGCAGAACGCCTCATCTTTCTCCAGTGGAACAGCTGGTAGTTTCAAACTGCCAACCTTGAGGTTAGCAGCCCGATTCATAACCACTACGCTACCAGAGTTCCTTAATACAAGTGATATAGGATGTTAAATTGAAAATGTCAAATGAGGTATCAAGACAAAACAAATTTAAAGCTCCAAAGAAAGACATCAGACAAAGATAACAGGTTTGGGGACATTAAAAACTACTCCTACAGAAAGAGGGTTCAAATTTGTAAAGGAATATTTCTTTGGAGAGAACTGCTGGTGAGCCAGGAGTTCCACCTCTCCATCTACCAGATGGAATGGAGGTACCACACCTCAAGCCCAATGAAAGAGGCCTCCAAAAGACAAGTAGAGGGACTTGATACATGACCCACAGGGTGTGAGGACACAACGGGCTGATGTTTGATCCCCATATGGAAAATCTACCTGCTGAGAGATGAGCTGAAAAAAAAGGTAGCTGTTTTAAGGTTGGTGTGCACTTGCAAAATGTGTAAAGGCCAAGGATAGATGGCTGGTGGGATGCTAAATGGTGCATCTGCTTGGAAAAACAATTTGACAGTTCCTCAAGTTAAACACAGACTTATATGATTCTAATTATATAAAATATCCAGAATAAGCAAATCAGAGACAGAAAGTATATTAGTATTTGCCTAGGACTGGGGTGGAGAAGAATAGGGAATGTGTGTGGGATTTATTTTAGGGAAGACAAAAGTACTCTAAAATTAGATTGTAGTGATGGTTACAATAACCCTATAAATATACTTTAAAAATACTAAATTGTACACTTTGAATGGGTAAACTGTATGGTAAATTATATCTCAATGAATGCTAAAAAGGAAAAAACAAACAAACAGAACTGGAAATGCTCCCAAATGCCTCACTCAAATTAAATACCTACTATACCCTCTTGTTACCCAGCGAGTTGCTGGATCAGTTCACCCATCCCAGATGTTTTCCTCATTTCCTGCTTTGAGCCATACTCTATAATTTAGTATTAGCAGAAGGTTAGTAAGACAACACATCCTTTGTTGCTGAATTTTACACAATGTTTACCATTTGTCTCCAACATACACATTTCCTCTGTTTTCCAACTGCAGCTGAATTGCCAAAACCTTGTAGAAAATAATTACCCTTCTACATCCCTTCCTGGTTTCAAGACAATTCCAAATTCTTCGTGCATAATCAAGTGTCTATAGCAAACTCATGCTTTGTTTTGCCTCTCCAGGTTTTAAACCCACCAAGCTGTTCAGTGAACTAAGAGGGCTCTTACATTGTTTCTCTTTTTGGGCTAGAACAGGAGATTCCCTCTTTTACTGTTAGAAGCTAATTCACTTGCCAGAGAGCAGCTCTCTGCTTCACTTTATTTTCACTTCAAAAGCAGTTTATTAAATTCCAAAGGATACTACGAGATATTTGTACCAAAGTTTGGTTACAACTACTCCTAACTCTGACAGCATTTTCATGTTATCCTGACCCAACCATTTAACCGTTTATATCACTATATTTCTTATGGGATGTGGTTGAAGATGACCTTTCTGAAAGTTAGTGGGGACTTGTTCTTTAATTCAGAAAACTTGCTTTCTAGGTTGTTTTATAGAATTTGTCTTTCAACAATCTGAAATGTTCTTGTCTATGAATATTTAGGATAAAATGCAAGACCTATCTTTTCCAGAGTCTTAAGATAAATAGGCTTTTACATTGCTACTAATCACTAAGTAATGTTTTATCTATGAGCAAATTAATTTTATATTGTTGTGCCAGGTCAGTCCTATAAAGGGTTGTAAAGTGTCACTGTTAAGTGCCATCAAGTCAGTTTAGCCTCACAGCAACTCTGTAGTGTTTTCAAGGAGCAGTTGGTGGGTTTGAACTTCTGACGATAAGTGTTATGGAGAATGACTTTTGAATCTCTTGATAAAGTTATATATCAGTATCATGCAGTGAGCTTCAGAAAAAACAAAAACATCTCTCTTCTTATTTGAAAGAACATAACTTAAAATTTACTCTCTATATATCCTTATACACAACTGGTAGGAATGTAAAATGGTCTTTTGTGTCTGGTTTCTTAACTCAGCATAATGTTTTCAGGGTTTATCATGTTGTAACACATGTCCATACTTCATTCTTTTTTATGGCTTAGTAATACTCCACTGTGTGGTATGCCAGGAGTGCCACTTCTCCATCCATCATACAGTTGTTTATTCCTTCATTAGTTGAAGGACATTTAGATTGTTAACATATTTGGATATTATGAATAAAGCAGCTATAAACATTTGTGTACAAGTTTTGTATAACATTTTCATTTCTCTTGGGTAGATACCTGAGTAGGATTGCTGGGTCATATGATATCTGTTTAACTTTTTGAGAACTGTCCCACTGTTCTTTAAAATGGAAATATAACTTTACATGGACTATAGTTCTGATAGGGTCGCTATGAGTTGGAACCAACTCCACGGCACATAACCGCCACCACCATAGCTCTGAAAGCTGAAAGCTAGTATAAATATTTTAACAACAAAGAATTATTAAATTATTGAAATAAACATTGAAAAAAAAAAGTGGTCTTAAAACACAGACTTCATGACTTCATTTTTGTCTAACATATTCTATTGTTGTTGTTGGTAAGTGCTCTGGAATTGGTTCTGACTCAGTGACCTTGTATAGGGTTTTTGAAGCTATAAATCTTTACTGGAACAGAAAACCTCATCTTTCTCTCTCACTTTTGAAAAAACATTTTCAGTATATACTTAGGTAGTCAGTTGCTGGATTTACTTATTCAGATTAACTTCTTTATGATGGTGATACTATCAAAAATTGTAGATTCAATATTATATACTTTCAAGATGCCTGTATTAAAAAATGCTTCCATAGATGCCTTCAAAAGACTTTCTACCAACTGCTCTGAAAGAGATCACATTAGAAAGTCTGGGATAGAGTGGAAAAAAATGTGGAACAAAACTCAAAATCAAAAAAAAAAAAAAAAAAAGACCAGGATTACTGGTCAGATAGAGACTGATGGAACCCCGAGACTATACTCATCTTCATGGCTCAATTTTCAGCCAAGCACTAGATGGGTATGTAGGGGAGACAACAACAGTAGCGAGGTATGCCCACAATACAATGGCCAATCACTCTAGGACAAATTTCAGAAGGTTGGGAAGGAGGAGGAATGGAAACAAGAATCACAGGGAGGAAATGGGATAAGTGATACTGCATTTGAGGGGGTTGCAATCACTGCGATGAAACGGAGTGTCTGATTTCTTGATTGTAAACCTAATGATGTATTCTGTAAACCTTCACTCAATTCACAATAAAAAGTTAAAAAAAAAAAAAGTCTCTAAATGTATCTTTTTTCATTTAAAAAAATTCAGCTTACCGTTTTCAGTTTATAAGGTGAAATCATTTCAATAGTTTAAAATTTAAGATTTGACATTTCAGTTCCAAAAATACAACTGGTATTTTAGGAACTGAATTTAAGTGCTGTCAAGTTGTTCCGACTCATAGTTTATAATGAGCAGCTAGTGGGTTTGAACCACTGACCTTGCAATTCAGTACAGTGCATATCATACAGTGCTACACCTATATTCCAAAATACCAATTAGAAGACAAAATCATTTTAAAAGATTAAGTACAAACAGCCCAGGTGGTGTAGTGGGTTATATCTAACCGGAAGATCAGCAATACAAATCCATCAGGTGCTGCATGGGAAAAAGATAAGGCTTTCTGCTCCCATAAAGATGTACAGCCTCAGAAATCCTACATAGGGTTGCTATAGGTCGGAAGTGACTTTAAAGCACAAAACAACACAAGTACAAATATTAGCTAGAAGCATTAATGACTCAAATTGTTGTTGTATGCCGTGGAGTCGGTTCCCACTCATAGCGACCCTGTACAGGGTTTCTGAGGCTGTAAATCTTTACGGGAGCAGAAAGCCTCATCTTTCTCCCGCGGAACAGCTGGTAGTTTTGAACTGCTGACCTTGCGGCTCGCAGCCCAATTCGTAACCACTACGCTACCAGAGCTCCTTAATGACTCAAATTACCAACCTTAAATACATCTTCAATGCATCTACTAAGTTCTTCTTCTGTCACCAAAACGGTCCCTGGCACCATGTCACGTTCTGGAATCTCTAGAGAACAAAAAATATAGTTACCCACACTCAGTGCCTCACTGAACAAAAGAAACTGAGCCCAAGAAAGACAGTTTTACTGGAGTGGTGGCCTGGTAAACTGACACGGTTACCACTGCCCAATAAAGCACCATTCAAACACATTTCACAGGAACTATACTACCACTGGCACTGACTCGATGGCATCCAACAACAACAGCATACTACCACTGATTCTTATCTCATGTATTGCTAAGAAAGAAAGAAAAAATCAACTGTCAATTAACCTATGACATATCATCACTTAGAATTTTTATTTCAAATTTATTAAATGAGAAAATGGGAAGTAGATGAAATGAAAACAGCAGAGAATTAATTGATGGCTGTGTCTAGGTGTTAAGAACAACACAGTTTATCATTTTCTTTGTATGTTTGAGTGTATTTTAAAACTTCTCTTTTTAAAGCATCAAAAAAATATTGAAAGCTCTCTTTTAGACTAATTCAGAAGTATGGTTTTATTATGTATCATTTTCTATACACGCTCAATAATTGGAATAAATTAGATAAAGAGTCCTTAAACTTTGATATTCAGTGCCCAACTCTTCTGAAACACTTTGAATGTTACGTATGCTATTCCAAGAGCACAGCTGATATGACATTTCTTAAAACAATTCTCATCTGGATGTCCTTCCAAGTCACTAGCATTACTTTTGTGAGTTTTAATGCTCATTTGCAAGCACACACAACTACTTCATGATTGCCACCTGGCTAACTGTGATTGACAGACGCATTCTGATAGCAACATTGTTAAAATGTGAAACAGATTTCCAAAATAAACGTTTTTAGTTTTTTTTCATATAAAAATGTGTGCTTAAATTTCTGAGGTAATTAATAATGATCACAAAGTCCTAAAGATGTAATAACAATATAAGAAACATTACGCTGCTTACTATAACATCAGCAGTTTGAACTCACCAGTCACTCCACAAGGGAAAGATGGGACTTTTTGCTCTGGTAAAAATTTACAGCCTCGAAAAACGCTATACAGGGTTGCTGGGTTGGAACTCATTCAATGGGACACAGCAACTACAACAACAACATACTTCAGATTATTTTTCCAGAGGAATGGTGGCACTATATAAGATCAGTCATATTATTCCCTTGTCCTTTTTGTTATCAACAGACTGAACACGCAAAACATGCAGCTAGGTTAACAAATGTAATCTAATACATGAAGCTATTGTTGTTCAGTGCTGTTGAGCTGGTTCCAACTCCTAGCGACCTGAGTAGGGAAGGTTTCCCACCAGGCTTTAAATCTTTGCAGGAGCAGAAAGCCTCATCTTTCACCCAAGGACCAGCTTGTGGGCTCGAACCATGTACCTTATGATTGGTACTTCAGTGCTTACTGTATGGAGGCACCACACTCCCAATACATGAAGAATGCCTAATAAACAGATGTTCAATTAATACTTCTTGAATGAATGAGCAAGACCCTACAGAAAAATATTATTGGAATGATCCACAATTGGAATGAATCTAGGTCTCTAGATGCCTGCTCAAACTATAACACCACTTGATTCACTCAGAAGGCCTCTAAAACGCAGAATATTAGGCTCCACCCACTTCTGACTCCGTAGATCGGGGATAAAGTCTATAAAAATAATAAGTTCCCAGACAGTGCTGACACTGCTGGGCTTTGAACTACACTTTGAGAACTACACTGCTCTAAACGAACGGAAATTTGTGAACGTTAAAAAAATTAAAAGATTAGTATTTAATACATGAAATTAGAAATATAAGAATTGCAAAGGTCAACAGAAAGAATACTTCATATTTTGAGCCAGTTTTGAAGAATGTACTGATTCTAGATTTCAATCAAATGTATAAAGGAATTTCAATTTTTGACTCATATCATGTTTAACATATCTGAATGGTAACAAATTTTACTTTACCAGTGATCAGTGTGGTTAAGCTTTACTGGGGCCAAGTAAAACTCCACCCCCAGTCCTCCGTGTATATATACATGCAAAAAATGCATACAACAAATTACTTATATACATGTTGTTGTTGTTGTTAAGTGCCGTCGAGTAGGTTCCTACCCATAGCAACCCTGTACAGAGTTTCCGAGGGTGTAAATCTTTACGGGAGTAGAAAGCCTCATCTCTATAGTCAATAGAAAACTAAATTTGGTTTAATCATGTTTTTATTGTTGTTGTTAGTTGCCATCAGGCCAGTTCAGACTCCTGGCATTCTCTGTGTGCAGAGCAGAACTGCTCCACAGAGTTTTCAAGGGGGTGCCCTTCCAGAAGCAAATCACAAGGCCTAACATCCAAAGTGCCTCTGGGTGGATTCAAATTACCAACCTCTGAGCTAGTAGTCAAGCACTTAACCATACCAATCATGTCATCATTTTCTCTCTCCATTTGAACCTTACAAACCACTATCTGAAAAGGTTCTTTCGTTGATTAAGAAGGCTAAAATGATACTCTACATCCCAGCATTAAACTCAACAGAGCATGAAAATATACTCAGGGAAGTGGTGAAAATGTCAATCTTCTAAACCATTAAAACAGAACTAAAACCAATGACTAAATCTGTGGAAAATTGAGCATCAAAATGAATGACAGGAATGCATGATAACATACAGAATAAAAAAAATGAATCCATTAATACATACTGATACTTAAATAACTACTTTTTTAGAATATTAAATAACAAATTTGAAGGAATAAAAGAAAGCATTTTACAAGCAAGAACCATCACTGGATACTAAACCACAGTTTGAAATATTATTGGGAAACAGAAAAATCACACAGTCTCTGACTAAATCATTCCATAGATCACTAATTCATTACAAAGGGGAAAATGTATTTCTATAATGGAGAAATATGTTTATCACTATTTTAACCAAATAACCAAATTTAACATCACTAATGATGGAATCCTGGTGTGGTGGTGTAAGATCAGTATTGGACTGCTAACCACAAGGTTAGTGGTTCAAACCCACCAACCACTCCTTGGAAACCCTATACAGGGTCACTATGAATCAGAATTGTCTCCACAGCACTTAACAACTACAATAATGGGATGGTACTAGTGGTGGTAGTGTGCCATGGAGTTGGTTCTGACTCACAGCAACCCTATATAGGGGGTTTCCAAGGCTGTAAATATTTACTGGAGCAGTAAGCCTCATTTTTCTTCTGCAGAACAGCTGGTAGTTCAAACTGCAGCCCAATCTGTAGCCACTACACTATAGCAATGGGATTAGCGGGAGAAAGATGAGGTTTTTGCTCTCACAAAGATTTACAGGCTTGGAAATTCCAGATAGTGTCTCTATGAGTCTAAACCAACTTGGCACACTTACTACAACAATAATAATGAGAGACAAGAGTCTTCCAGGCAGATCTGAGTCCCAGGTTTGATTCCCAGCCAAAGCGCCTCGTATATATTAGCCACCATGCAAACGTCAGTGGAGGCTTGTGTGCTGCTATGATGCTGAACAGGTATCAGTGAAACTTCCAGATAGACTAGGAAGGCAGGCCTCAAGATCCACTTCTGAAAACCCTAAGGACTACAATGATTGAATGGTAAGCTCAACCAATCAGGAGAAGCGTGCAGGCTAGGGGGGCAGCATTTCATTCTGTGGTGTGTGGGGTCACTGTGAGTCAGGGGCCGACTTAACCATAACTAACAACAACAACGGAAGGTGGACATCATCAAACAATATCACTAATAGTACAGGCAAGTAAAATTGTGCTGACGATAATTAAAAATGATTGCAACATTACATCGTTAGGAAACTGCCAGAAATTCTAGCTGGATGCAGAAGAGAATGCGGTATGAGAGATATCTTTACTGACATAAGATGGATCTTGACTGAAAACGAAGACCAGAAAGAAGTTTGTTGTTGTTGTTAAGTGCCGTCAAGTTGGTTCCAACTCAGTGACTCTGTATAAGGCTTACAACTGCCAACGCTGCAATTCAAACAGACCTTCAGGTCTAGTGCTTATCCTATGGTGCCATACCAGGTTGTATTTTATTGCCTATGCCAAAGCTTTTGACTGTATATCAGATCATGACAAACTATGGATAACCTCGCAACGAATGGGTATTTCAGAACAATTGTATATATAAGAAACCTGAACATAGACCAAGAGGCAGTTGTTAGAACAGAACAAGGGGATACTGAGTGGTTTAAAACCAAGAAATGTGTGTGCTAGGGCTGTATCCTTTCACCATCCATGTTCAATCTGTATGCTGAGAAGGAGTATAATCAGAGGAGCTGGATTATATGAAGAACATGGTATCAGGTTTGACAGAAGAAATTCAAATGATACAAACTTACTCTGCCATTACCACTTGTATACCACATGTGGAAAGAGGTGGGAGGGAGATCCACTAACCAGATAGCTGTTATGCCGTCAAGTCAGTTTTGACTTATAGTGACCCGATACAGGTTACCAAGGGGTGGCTGGTGAGTCTGAACCACCGAACTTGCAGTTCAAACTGACCTTGCTGTCCAAAACTTATCCTACAGTGCCACATCAAGAGTAGAACACATGTTAATGCTAGTGAAGGGAAGGCCATTACACAATATGGGGGAAGTCAGCACAACATAATCAGGTAAATGAGGGCATTGAGAGGTAAGCAAGAATAAAGTACAACTATGGTAAATGCTGTAACACACAATTCTGAAAGAATAGTAATAACAACCAAAAATTTGTGAGGGGTTACATAGGTAGTTATGTATGCTGTGTAGGTGTAAGAAGGGGGATAGGAGTATTTGTTGTTGTATCTAAATGCCATCGAGTCGGTTCTGACTCATAGCAACCTTGTATAAG